CTTCGACTCGGCATCAGGGGCCTGCAAAATGCGTTCCTTGTCAGGAGGAGGCAAGGGATTTTGTCTGTTGCATTTTAAAGAAGCAGTTGAAGTCGCACGTGTTGTCGCCAACAGCACTTTCCCAAGTTCCACTCACAACACGCGAACAGTGGAGCATGAGGCATTTTTAAAGCACCACAATTTTCAGCACAAATGAATGATCAAAGTGCTTACAGCAAAGGAAAGGCATTCTTGTCCTTCGTAGATAATAGATAACTAAAAAATGCAGATCTCCAAAATGCCTCCGTATTTTTGGCATCCGAAAGGCGACATTGTTCAGCAAAACAATTGCCAAAATGCAGAACTGTTGTACATCAAAGGTGTTATTATGAAGAGCAAAGTAAAACGATGAAAAGCATGTAAGTTTTTTTGCACCGTGGGGAGGATTTCTTTAGGCTGGAATTAAAAGTAAGCAAGAATTCGCCTAAACCACTCAGGAATTGACGGTTGAAGGCTTGCTTAGTTGTCTTTCAAGCGAGCTACAAACAAAAGCATAACTGCACTCTGATGTCTGTTGCTAAGGTCAAAATTGGGAGGTGTGTGAAATTGTGGTCTTGAGAGCAATTGTTTAAAAACAAAACCACTGTTGCTAAATCTCCTGTAATGTGACGAAGTGGTCAGTGAAAACAGACGACAAACGAAAAAAAAAATCGCTTACCTTCAGGTTTGTATCCATTTAGGGTTTTCTGGAAGCTCTCCCTCGTGTTAGCATTCACCTCCACGAATCCATTTACCTTTGACTCACTGCTTTGCCACTGTCCTTGCTGCTGCCTCCGCTGCCAGTGCCTCTGAAGTCTGCTCTGACGCGCTCTCAGGCGTCGGCAGAAGACAATGATAGCAACGAGGAGGGAGAGTGAGACAAAAACCACACCTGAAATGACATAGACTATCACCATCGTCTCTGTGCCGAGAAGACTCATTCCCAGGCTACTTCCAGGTCCGCCAACACCGCTGACTAATCCATCATTTGGTCCAAGGCCTAACAAAAAGTCGTTGTGCAGACCAACAGGTGGTGAAGCGTCAACAATAAGAACAACATCGGTTTGTGAGGCTTGTGGACGTATTCCATGGTCCCTGGCTTCGATTCGAAGCGTGTGAGTACCCTAAAGAAAAGACCAAAACGCATAATGTTGATTACTTTAATGCGTTTGCTGTCAAATTCAAGAAAGCAAATTTATAATTATATTCAATTTTCATTTCTATCTCGAATAACATTAAATAGTGCCACCTTCTTTGCCTTCCAAAGTCCACCTCAAACCCCTTTGTTTAAGAGGGCCGCGTTTGTCTAATGCAATTGAGGCGCGGCACTTAAGCGATGCTGGTGGCACAAACTTGGTGTCTCACCTATTTGTGATGCATTTCAAAGATCCAAGATGTTTAGTAAGAAACCCTTACACTTCTAAATAGACAAGTGCTGCCAAGTTTGTTTGGGAGGTTTGCGAAATCCCTAGTGCGAAAAAAATCATGAGTAAAATTTTTTTGCTTTGCGAAAATACAGTGAAAAATGTCGGCCATCCTCTCAAATCGTGTCAAATTCTCGAAGGGGACTGCAGGTGTTAGGACTGCCACAGCCCTGGACACACTTAGGTTAATGGGAAATTCTCAGTCCTCATTCGATCTATCAAGACCCCAAGAGATGCTTGGAGAACTAAAAAGTTAGAAGCGTCACTTTCCGATAATAATAAGGGTTTCATGCTTTGCTATTCGGATTAATGGAGAGGAGATTATCTGGATAAGCTGTGTGATGCGATCACACGTCTCCATTCCACATGCCTTCCGTGAGTGCGATGGGTTTGAAAGCGTAAAATTTCTCACATTACAGTGCATTTCGCATGCATCAAAGGTGGGGGAAAATGAGGCCTTGAGGACAGTTAATAAATCAACTAATTTTCTAGGTCCAAAATATTCTCGAGAGGGAGGAGGGGAGGAAGAGAGGGCGAGTAAGAGGGTCAGTTTCGAAGGGGCGTAGAGATTGGCGGCAGAAGGAAAGAAATTCAATGTGCTGCTACGCTGTTTGTTTGCCTCGGAACATGGACCAGCGGAGGGACTTTCCTATAAGGGATCAAATTCAGATTTGTTCTAGAAGGGTGGTTTTTGTATTGACATTTGATCTGTATGTAGAGTTCATGCAAGAAAGATCGACTTCGTCTCAACATTATCGAGCGACTGCCAAAGATGAGTGAGGTTTGACGATGAATAATCACTGTTTATTAGCTTGATTTGCAAATTGAACCCTAAGCTTGTTGCCTGTGTCAATGCTGGCATCCTCATCAACGTAAACATTTTTCAGACAAACAAAAAGTTCACGAGGAGACACATTTAAAGGCGAGTGTATGTTCAAAATGGACAAATTGGATTGCAGACGGGATCCGCGGTGCAATGCAGCACACGACAACTTTCCTTGGGTACCTCCAACCACCATAGACATTTTGAATCCTAACTTTTCGAGTAAATTAATCAGATTCAGCCTCCAGGCGACCTTCAAATGCTAACTTACTGGTGTACTGTTTAGAGCATCGTTGGGAAAGCCAAACAGGATGGCATGCCAACGCAACTGAGAATTCCTTAAATTCGTCTACCACGAAAGAT